GGGTATGGAAAATTAGAGAAGGGCCACGGACATGATATGGAGTCCAACTTTATTTAAAATTAGAAAAATTGTTGTAACAAAGAACGAACCAGTTCTATATTATCTTGATGGAGAATATGCCCCTTCTCGCGGGTTTGTGCGAGAAGAACTTATATTAATAGTTAATCCAGAAAAGGTTGAGTACCCACCTCAGAGTATATTATCTATACATTTCGTTTATGCTTCTAATAATAAGATAGCTCAAGCTGAAGATTTTGCCAAAAAGCATGGTGGCCAATGTCTTAGGAAAACTGGGCGAATAAATAGTCATAATATTTATCTTTGGTCCTGTGAAAATGATGCACATCAGTGGGAGTATCTGCTAAAATATATCATGAAAAAATTCGAGTGGTGTCATCTATGCCACTATTCAAGCAGTGAACATCAATGCCGATATATTTTTGAGGATTTACTAGGTAAGAAATTTCCACTACATAGGCCGAATTTTTTAGATGAGATGCATCTCGATAGGTATAATGAGGAATTACGTCTTGCATTCAAATTCCAGGGCCCCAACACTATCATCACAATAGTTTGTATTATCGGAAGAGTGAAAATTTGAAATCACAAAAGATGCATGATCAGAAGAAGCAGGATATATGCAAGGACCAAGGTATATGCCTTATCGAAGTGCTTTATACATGTGATCTTTTTCCTTACATTAAGCATACACTAATCGAGAAAGGATTCTTGGATAAAGTGAAGGATTAAAAGAAATTATTTTTAGTATATCATTAATAATTCTTAATTTGATATGAAAATAAAAAAGCTTGAGCTAGTTGATAGGCTCATATACCACATTAACGAGATTAAAGATGTTCAAAAATATAATGGCCATTCTAGTACGCCTCAATGGCCTTTTACTCTTCTAATTTCAGGTCGTACTAATTCAGGGAAAACTAATGAGGTTCTTAATCTCATACTTGGAGATAAGCTTTATCGAATGTTTAATAGTAAGAAAGAAGGGACACATTATATTAAGTGCGATGATTTGGTCTTGATCAGCCATAATCTTAAAGAGCTGAAATATATATATCTTAAATCAGCATATCAGATAATTGCAAATAGTTCGAAGCCATATCGTGAAAATATTATATTCCGAGGTTTGAAACCTGATAAAATCCCTAAGGTAGATTCATTTTCCCCGGATAGAGGTACAGTGAGTATATTCGAAGATGTGTATGCTGATCCGAAAAAAGTGCAGGAGAAAATTATTCCTTATTTTGTTGAAAGGTGATATTACAACATCAGTTCGATATATGTATCCCAAAGTTACTTTGACTGTCCGAAGATAATACGAAAAAATCTTTCACACGTTTGCTTATTTAATGGGTCATGTACTACAGATGAACTAGTCAGAATTGTGCGTCAATATGCCAATGACTGGCGTAGTGTGATTAAAATTATTGACAAGTATTTATGTGAGCAAAAATTCATTGTTTTTGATTTAACTGTACCTCGCGAGCATCCACACAGGATACGCGTCGGTTGGGATGTACCTCTCACTAATGAATAGAATCTGACTTTGTAGATGCCAGCTTTTTTCTGTTATATGTACCCATCAAGAATACATTTATTCACGTCTAGATGCTTTCACTATTCCCGAGAACATATCTTGAAAAATGAAGGCTTCTGCCAATATTATATAATATAATTACGCAGTTACCTTCACTTTTAGTTGTATATTTAGATGCCTTTCTTTTACGATTTGCTACCTAAGTTCGCTATCGCTTCTTTTTTGCATCTATATCGCATTTTCTCATTTCATACACGCCTACATGCATTGTGGTAAGTAAATATATTATTAATTAATGTCAAAAAAAATAGTTATTATATCACTTCGATCATATTCTAAAAAAATAAATTATATTATTCAGTCGGAAGTAATAATCTATAATTAAACTATTTCTCAGAATTAGTCAGTTAAACAATCGTAATTTCTGTCCCATCTCTCAATCTCAATGCGGTATCTTTTGGTAGATTAAGATGAGATGGTACTAAATTAATTTGTTTTGCAAACAGAGACGAGATAAATAATTTGTTTGAATTTCCTTTCTCGGGTCTATTAGTATTAATTGAGCTAAGCACACTTACACTACATTGCATAGGAGGAGTAGTTACCTTGGAACTAGTTAATGAATATAATTTATTTGGTTTCAAAGGGACCTCTTCAATTTTAGCTTCGAAGCAAGAGTAATTCCAATGATTCTTCATCAAATCTTGAGACTCAACTTCATAGTCCTATCTGCGACATCCATCAAAATATACTTTTCTTGGTTTTACTTCAGTAATCCTCACTAATTTCCAGCAATCGAAACAAATCGCCATTTCACTCTTGTGAACTCTAGGCCTGCGATATTCATATAGAATATCTATTAACTCACCATTGACATGGCTGTAATACGCCTTGGTTATTCCTTCTCCAAATGAGGCGAAGAGACAGAATACATGATAAACACTATATTCTTGCTTAGAAAGTAGTTCTTGCAGAGGACCTATTACACGATTAGCCCATTGCTAAGGCGTTTCATGAGGCCTAATAATAGATAAATAATCATATTGTTTTTCTATTTTAACCACTTTTTCATACCGATAGTTATCAGTTTGAGGTCGATACTTAAAAACATGTTCCATATCATATCCGGGACAGAGATTGCTAGGTTTAGGTACTCTTTTATTATAGATATTATCTATTATTATTTTAACTGTGTCACTAGGCATATTTAGCAATTTCACTAATTTTATCGATTTATAGCAATTTCAATGTCTTATAACAGTTTGTAACAAGTATAGTATAATAAATATCTGATTCATTTTTATTTCACATTGACACTTTTTTACCTGTGTTGGAAGTAGATAAAAAAAAATATTAATTTAAAAAATATATCTCAATTGTGATCTCAAGAATAGTATTAGGAAAGCAGTGGACAACTATAGAAATCTGCATATAAATAACCTAATATATATGCTTCTTATCTGAAGAAATTTGCCTTTATCTAGAAAGGTTCCACTTATGTAAGTTGTTATAGTTGAGTAGTATCCCATATAAAAAATTAAGAAATAAGATTAAAATTATATTTTACGCTATCCGGCTAAATCATCCAATTGATTTTTTTTGCGGACTGAACAAACCACCCAAGTCAAAGTACTGGGCCACTAGCAATGATGATTATGCCCTTTCGAATACACAACACACATAGTCAAAGGCCCTATCGTCAAGAGGTAAAGACTCAAGTGAAATTTTTTGCTTAACTATATATACCCGTAACAAGTAACCTGGGTGCTCAATCTATCAACGCAATATAATCTCGTGCAAGAAAATAAAAACGTATTATTTACCTGATTCATCCAGCATAACTTAAAAATTTTTGGATTAGACCTTCTCTTATCTGTCGATCTACAGGAGATAATTTATCCTGCTCATTTACTTTGATAGCTTTTCTTTTTTTGAATGAATATAAGAAAAAGAATTTCGAGGTGGATACATTCAAACTATTTCTCATCTCGTAGCTCAGTAGACTAAACTGCGGGAAGCTCATTGGGTCTTTCTCTCTTCGCTATGCAGACAATGATAATCCGATGATCGCACCCTCAAAGCAGTATATAAAAAATATATATATATATAATGAATTTTTTTGTATAAATAACGGGGAAGAAGTATAATAACAAAAAAGCGAGATGGATACATTCAAACTATTTCTTATCTTGTAGTTCGGTGAACTAACCACGGGAAGCTCGTTTGGTCTTCCTCCTCTTACTAACAAGGCAATGATAGTTGACGATCGCACCCTCAAAGCAGTGTTTTTATAAGAGTAGAATAAAAAAATAAATTTTAGAGAGGAAACAGTCGGATCCTAGACCTACCTCGAAAGGTTATGACTGTATCTAAAAAAACTATGTTATTAAAGGATAACTAGCATATTTTTGCAGAACAGACGATCACTTTCGCCAAAGTACTGGGCTACCAGATGGTAATTATAAGCATGTTCAATCTCACAACACACATAGTCAGAGGCCCTATTGCTCAATATTAGAGACGAAATTTTTTGCTTGACTAAGCATACCCGCACAAATAGCTCTAGCAACTGTCTTATCAACACAAAAACTATCTTGTGTAGAAAAGTATAATGTAATATCAGTAAAAAAAAATCTCTATGTAAAAGGATTTTATATAGATGTTATGTGGCTATAAAACATACCATATTTGGTTGTAAATAATTCAACATCGCAGGTACATACGTACATACGTACATATGTGTTATAGTTACATTAGTAAATCTCTCAACAATTATGTAAGGTCGGTTTCAAGATTAACACATATAAAAACAATGATTTAGGACTGTGGAACTAGTTTGTATTATAAACGGAATAAAAAAAGACTTCATTATACATACATAAGCCATAAATATCAATCGTTATAGCACAGCTTCATAATCACGACTTTTAGCCATGCATTAAATTTATGTTGTATTACGATGATTTTATTCCAATTAATTGCAAGGAATAACCGTTATATGCAGTATTGTATATCATTCAAACACAAACACCTACACGATTTTTTTAAATGTAATTGAGAATATCCGGAAAATTCAAAGCAGTGTATAATATTCACGGTATTCGCTCCTAAAAATTAATTATCCAAACATTAGTTATTTTTTCGATTAAAGATATATCACATATACAACTTGAGAATGAGGCAACTAAATATTTTTGATTTACCAGAATTGCTAGAACGGATCTTATATTTTTTAGAATTCCATCGATCCCTCTATCCTGCATTATTTGTCAACCACCTTTGGTATCACTGCGGTGCTCCTATTCTATGGTGTCGTGTTGAGTTTTTCAACAAAGATTATCAGCAGAGCCGGCGTGCCCTAAACATGTCTTGGGTTCTTAGTTGGTGATTGATAAACTTTGAAAAAGTTATGCGTAGAAAAATAAAGCCAATCTATTGTTCAAAGATGGTATATTTCAGATTGGAAGGTTTAAAAATCTCAGATGCTTTAATCAGTACAATTCTCTATTCATGTCCGGATATATGCTTTCTTATTCTTGATAAAAGTAAGGGTTTCACTAATATACCAATTATAGAAATTGTGAGATTTTCTCCAAAACTACAGCATCTGAGTCTTAATTCATGTATATGTCTCACTAATCGATGTATTACCGAAATTGCTCGCTCATGTCCAAAACTTAGACATCTTGAGCTTGGTGGTTGTTCGATTGGTGATAAAGCTGTAGAGGAAATAGCCCGCAACTGTACTAATTTGAAATATCTTAGTTTGAAGGGTTGTAAAGGGATTAGTGAAGAAGTGATAAAAAAGCTCAATCTGAAAATTAAAATCGAATATCCTCTACCTTTACTATGGCCTATCTTTACTGGTATACATCAGTTGAAACGGATTATGTCTGGCATCACTGATATTTTAGCATGATGACTTTTCAAACAAATAATTCCATATTTACGCACTACAATTATTGAACACGATAAATCAGTCAACAATCGCATATTTTCTATATTTGGAATTAGATTGTTAGCAGATATTTTGGTTATACGGGGTATGGTAATAATTTTACACGCTATATATTCATACACTTCTTTATTTATGCTATTATAAAAAACCATGTTGATCAAACATCTAGCATCACATTTTTTTACTATCAAAATCCTTACAGCCGTTGGTGATATTGATCCATGCTAGAAAAAATAAGTACGTATTATCTTGCATTGTATAATGCAATTTAACGGTCCCGCGGGTCTGCTTTTATTTTGGCCTAGGTCGAAGCTAAAATAGCAATAAAAACTTGACCGGCTTTAATAATCGATGGCCTGCATTAAACTTTATGCGGTGTTACCTTAATTTCTCATGATCGATTTTTTATTAAGTTAATAAGTAGCGCTAATAATGAATAGCGACTAGAATCTTTCTTACCTTATATAAGATCCCGCGATAAAAAAAGGGACTTAAAAAGGCTATAAGGGGAATACATATATTGTTCTTAATCAGTAGTTTTGTCAAAATTCATATATTGCAGGAACTTCGAATCTCCGCCATCTCCCAAGATCGTCAGATCTAAATCTACCTTAAGCGATCGTCAATTATAGGGGTTTAATTTCACCAAAAAATAACAAAATAGATTTAGTGTTTGGAAGTTATGACCAAGCAGAGTTGCTTTATGGAAAAAAAACTGGCGTTGGAATTAGGTAATACAATTACTAATGTATTTTTCTTCTGGCATGTTCTCAGACCTAATGAACATGAAGTATAAAAATAAGCAGACTCCTGCCCATAAGATGAGTTAGCAATAACGTTATTTTTTGCTCATATATATTTTTTACTTGATTTACTTGCCCGTAATTTATTTTTAAAGTAATTTGCTATTTTATTTAACAGAAAGTATGAAACTGAATTTTTACTTACTATAATTTTTCTTGTATTTAGGTACGAAAAATAAGCACTAACGATAGCACCACCCCCAATAATGGATTTGTTTCAGTCAAATATGGTAAATTCTTTTATTGGTTTTGTAAATGAAAATACAATTAATCAATATAATTTTTTACAAATATTTTAGGACTTCAGTCAAATAAAATAACAATACACTATCATGATGAAAATGAGAAATATCATGGTTGTCTAAAATTAGTAGAAGCAGACAAGCCGAAACAATTGTAAACTACTCAGTTTTCTAATTATTTGTTTTTTGTATTACGTTTTTATATCTCATTTCTCCTAATTTATGTTGTATAATCATAGTAAAATTTATAAACAAGCGGGTCAATATTTTGATATTAATGGTGTTATAACATGACTGGATGAAATTAAGAATAATCAAAGTCCACTTCGGAAAACAGTACAGTTACAATATACTATAAATTTAGAATTCGAATTCGCTTCTGTTCAAGAAAATGCCGGTGGTAGTGATAATGCAGGTTATATTGATATGAAAAAATAACAATATATATTTTATTTTCTCATTTGTGTTTTTATTATATAATAAAAAAAATATATTTTCATTATACATTGTCGTTCCGGCAACAATTTTTATGAAATAAAGGGAGGAGTTTTGTGCTCCCGCCATTTTCTATTTTTACACGATTTTATATCATGTGATGCCGTGACCTGGGGTCACATTCTATAAAAATAAATTTAAATCACGTGCCCATTACTGTGAGAAGTACTTACCACATATATTATTAATTTCTCTGCAGATTTCCCAGAGGCGGTGATCGGCCCACATAACCAGACTATGTTACGATTGCGAACTTGAGTTTATTACTTGAAGTGTTGCAGGTAAGACAATATTCCGTTTCATTTCTATACCATTCACCATATAATCCATAATTCTCATATTTTCCATCACAAACAGGACATGGTGAGCTCCACAGCTGAGGTGATGCAAAACTATAATTATCAATTCCTCTAAAACTATTTCGGAATTTCAAGTATGTGAAATGCTCTAACACAGATTTGATAATTAACTCTGAATCAGGTTTGGCTTCGAACATGATAGGCCTGAAATCAGCTATTTTAATAACAAAATTTCGTTTTTCTTCTGAATCATCAGGTAATATAGAAATTGGAAGACGAGAATTGAGAGATGCATTTTTGTTTATAGATAATATGCGTACCTCTGTTTCATTTTTAATATCTTCAATTTGGGAGGATCTAGAAGTTTCAGAGTTTATCCAGGGATCGAGTCCAGTTTTATTCTTATATCTTTTATATAACCTAGAATGGATTTTATCTGTCAAAATATTTGGCAATTCTGTTAATTTAGCTTCCTACTCCAAATATTTGGAAGCTAATATTTTATTGGCTTTTGCTTGTGTATTCATATTGCCATTTTATATAATTCCACATCTCTTTAAATTAACAATAGCCAACAAAAAATAAATATACCTCAGAGCCTTTTGTCTCATAAATTCGAAAAAAGAAAAAAAAAGTGATTAGCTTCTGTTTAAATACAAGTACATATAGTGATTACTTACTTTCTGGCTGAGCCAGCCCTTAACTATAGTTAAGAGAAGGCAGGGTTTATACTGTTACCTCAATTTCAATTCCATGCTGTTCACATTTAAGATTATAAGATCCAATTTCATATCTGCCTTCTATACTATTTTCATCGTCATGATCCAACTTACATAGCGGACATAATGATTTATCAGTAATTCCGTAATAATTGTCATTTCCATCACTACCTTCTTGGCATAAATTAGGATATTGCTTTAATATTTTATTATGAAAATAAATATGATCACAAATTGGATTAGATGGAGATATAGGTGATGCACTTACCTCACTTTCTGCTAAATCATTTGAGTCAGATGATTTAGTCACATAAGGGTGAGACTCAAGGTCACACGGTACACATTCCACCTTGTTAGAAGTAAAAGTATCCTTACTATTTCAGGATTCTTTAGTAAAATGTTCTATAATATATTGAATTTGCGAGTTAGAGAGTTTTGATATTCCATTCGCACTATAAGATTTAACCTGTTTAATCTTATCCTCTCCTATACTGTTAAATAATTTATAAATCTTACAAGCTCTTTGAGTTTGCTTGCGGAAATTCTCACAATCCCAAATTTCATCATAAACTTGAATTCTTGCCAAGTCATCTGCTCTTTTATTATTTTGGCAAATAGATAAATTATCATTAACCCTCCTTTCGAAACCTTCTGTATAATAATACCAGCTTAAAATTTCTTCTTGCTTAGCATATATAGTATTCTTTTTAGCTTTCCTTGCTTTATGATATAAATAAGCCAATTTGATAACAATATGTTTGTCATTTTCATTGTGATCTGATATATCTGGCTCTTTATTTTTAATGACTTCAATTGATTCTTCTGATACGGGTTCCAAATATAATTCTTGTATAAATTTTTGCATCTCAATTCGGCTATCCTTCTGAATTGAATCGTTTTTAGTTTCAGTCACATGAGGGTGAGACCCGGGGTCACAGGGTTGATGCTCGGTCATAATATTTATTTCAGAAGAAATAATACTTTGTGCCTGGTTACGACTTGGGTGGGCGACTATATAATTATGCGAAACTTTTGTTTCTTCAAGCTGTATCGGCACCGATTTGCTGTTTTGCTCAAGTGGGACCAGTTCACTACATAATTCTTCAACCGATATAGAGGAAAATTCTTGTTCCCGAAGTTTCTTCTCCCTAATTCTCTGAATTATCTCTTTACTAACCTTTTCTTTATATGTCGAACCCAGGAATTCATCGACCGCCTTATCTTCCAATGATTTACTCTCTTTACAAATAGATGACGCAGGATATTGGGATGAAGACTCATGACATACATCAGGATTTGAAGTGTTATCAGATATATTATCGAAATTAATTTTGATCTGTTTAGGTGTATTATTGAAATTCGTTCTACGAGAGGCATTGGCCGTACCACTAATATTAGCCGAAGATTGTTCTTTTGGAATGAATGTATCTACCTGTTCGGTCTCCCCAACATCCTTACTCTGTGAGTCATTTTGTGATAGCTTTTGTTCTAATTTTGCAACCCTGGATCTAAGCTCAATATTTTCTCTTGCAGATCGTTCTAATTCCACAATTCTTACCTCAAGCTCATTTTTTTCTTTCGCGATCTGTTCCAATTCTGCGATTCTAGCCATAAGTCTGGCATTCTCCTGTTTCAATAAATCTAGTTCAGATTTGGAGTTTCCCATTGTTTTATATAAGATATAGATATGTTCAAAAGTTTGTATTTGTATTTTTTATTATTTGTATATTGTTGTTCGTTTTGGCAACAATTTTTATGAAATAAAGAGGGGGTCCGGTGACCTCGCCATTTTAACGCGATCGTGTAAATCGACTCCACCCATAACTTTATTAAATTAATAATTTCTGGGGCCGTCTCAGAAAATTGCCAAGAAAAATTTTCGATATGCAAGTAATGTACATTGATAATAATATAATAAAATAAATTCACGAAATATACACACAAGATTTAACTGATTATGTATGCAAATCGACCACCAGGGCCAGCTTTATTGATAATTGCCAAATCAAATTCCAATACAGCAATAATACAAAAATGTATTTTTTTTTATTA